ACACCGGCAATGTAAGGCCGCAAGCTAGCATGAAGAGGAGTGTGCAGAGCAGCGCTGTCTCCACCCACAACTCAGAGGCGAATTGCTAATGAGCTACTGGAGCTCTGCAGAAGAAAAGCCCCTGAAAATGACACAGGTTATGTGATTTTGGATAAAAAAAAACTACTTAGAACACTAAATAATGATTTAAAAAAAAAAAAGAAAAAAGTGGAAATGGGACTTTAACTCCACACTGTTTTGTTTCATTACATTTTATAAAGACACTTAATGGCACCAAATCCACACATCCTGTTAGCAGTTTTCTCCCATTGATATATCTATATCTGCACCCAAATCACCCCAATGGATGTCAGCTTCACTTAATGGTCTAACTGCATTACTACGGTACCATTAACTCTGCAATATTTGAAGTGGCCTTTCCCCGAAGTGATAGCTGAAGGTTACATTCATGAGATTGGCAGGTTTTTGGATGGTATTTGTACCACAACTCAACTGTCATTATTTGTGTGCACAGCCACAAAGTCATACGTATGTTGCTTGAGGGATCTGATTCAAAAGTAAATAGGGGTAGATCCACTATCACCAGAGGTATTAGCTGGAAAAACACTTATGGACCGTATGGATGAGGTCTTTGAATTCAATTGCCAAGGGCGAACAGCTGGTGCAAGGCCACAAAGCTTGGGAGACTGGAGGTGTTCCTGTGGGTCCTGTGGAAGAACTGTAATAACCTGTCGGTCTGTCAGTGGCGAAATAAAGCACTTATGGTGGACGCAGTTTGATGATGCACAAGCTCGTTTCACAACTGCTGGCTGCTCCACTCCCTCAATACTGGACCGATTTCAGAAACTGTTCCCTCCATCACTCAAGCACGCACAAACACAGGGAAACAGGGCCCAGGTTGAAAAAGACTGAAGTATAGCAAATGCAGCACTTTTAAATCCCACCTTAGTATCCAGAGGTTGAGTCAGCCTTAATGAGGAAAACTGAAACTGGCCACATCCCAAGAAAATGATGCATCTGTAAGACTGGTATGTAATTACCCCCCAACAGCCCCAATTTCACCTGACACCACCTTTATCTTAATTCATGGCAGCCATTAGTCACCTGACACAGGTTGTTTGTCATCAGGTTACATCATGGAAATAGAGAAGTGTTTTCAGCAAAGACACAGGACTGGAATTCCTGCTGTGATAAGAGAATTTCAGAGATCCCAGGAGGGAGTCTCGGGGAATTTTGCAGCAACTGAGTCAAACATGTGGGGCAAAGACTGTTGGTGGATGGTACTCAGAGATGAAAGCCAGATCCCCTTGCCGTACTTCACACAAGGGGCCAAATTACAGATGATGTCGTCATTGTTTTCCTCAGCCAAACAGATTATCCTTCAATGAGGTCCTGGCTCAGTGACTCGGAATCCACTCATCAGGCCCGAGTCCATGTGTTAGTCTGGTGTGATATCTCTCAGGCAGGAGTTGAGTAAACACCAAGTAAACACTCTGACATCATCTGTGGGAACTCGTGTGACATCAGCAGGAAGTGTTCAAGAGCAGCGCACACATTAGGGTAGAGGAAGTGTTAAGTCTTGAATGTATATTTCAAACAAAGAGCTTTAAGTGTAAATAATGGATTTAAAAGACAGATTTATGAATGATGGCCCAATACTTCCTTCTAAACTGATGTAGTTATTGGGAATTGCTTTGGAAAAACAAAGCAGAGACCTCAGTTACACATCAACATAAAACATAAAACCTGGATAACAGAAACTAAGGAATGATGAGGTCTGTGTGTGAAATGATGAAATTCAATAATGAAGCCTTGTTATATCATGTTTGAAAGTTTCCTTTGTGTGATTATGTACAACAAACACAGATCACAGACAAATACACAAACAGAGCAAACAAAAGCTTGTCTGCAGGGAACAGCATCAATAATGCAATTATTGCAAAGCAATAATGATGCTACACAGGATTTAGGAGACATAACAACATTTTTTATGGAAAGAGTCTCCATAACTAAGAACCGAGGTCGTTATTTTTTATTGACAAAACTTGACAAATCTTGATTCAAACTTGAGGGGTGAAAGCTCATAGACTGTTTGGAGTCAAAATGTCCAGCCTGTCAGCACAGCAAGATGTTTAGAGCAGTCCACTATTGGAACTAGCAGGATAACCTGACCGTTGCACCACACACTTGACCTCAGTGAATAGAGGAGTTTTCAAGCAAAAATAGAGGACGTGTGTTATCAAAGATGCCAATCTTGACACCAAAACAAAATTAAAGGCTCATTTTATAGGAATTTAAAGTTCTGCACCTCAGTGGTGCAGATAAGCCAAATACTAGGTTATGTGTCAGCTTTGTACAAAGCAGACATCTTACTCATTAACAATAACAGGTAGGCTCATGAGCAAACTATTTAATTTCAGCACGTAATAAAAGAAGAATTGCACTCAAACTCTGCTAATAGACTTGTGTTTCTGGCAAAAATACTAAAAATTAATCAGTGTTAGAATTGACACAATACTGTTGGTTTATTGCAAATATTGTTATGGCAGAGGTTAAATGCTACTGAAATTCTCTTTTTATATCTGCTCTCAGTATTTCCAGGATTTTCTCTATTTCCTGAAATCGCCATTTGTACAGTTAATAAGTAGTGTTCAGCTGGAGACTCGATGTGATGACGCTTCGCTCAAACAGCATATCCCCCAGCTGAGCTATGCAATCTTTGTATGTCCAAAGGCTATATGTCAATCATAGAAAACATGAACCCCCTAACAACTTTTAAAAATGGAGATGTACAGAAAAAAAGTGGACTTGAGCACAATCCAGTCTTACAGTAACTACATGTCAACATCACAAGCAGGGCTGAGAAAATGTAGATTCTGTGTAATTAATTTCTAAAGTTTGTCCACAGCTCCATAGGGATTGCTGGAGGAGGCTGGATTTATGACCTATACTGCAGACCGCACCATAGAGTGCTGTTCCAACAGGGACTCACCCAGCAAGGAGGCAGACACTGTCTATTCTGTATATTACAGTCTATTTTTTATTTTAAGTCTTGGTTAGGTATTTTTGTAACTGTGTAGTTGAACTCAGTAGAATAATAAAGAGTGACATTCCTACTCTAAGTTCATTCACTTTCCCACACTCTATACAATGTTAACTTCTTGATTGTTCAGATTTTGAGTTTTACTCTGCTGAATCATATACACTGCATGCTAAGTTAGATATGTGTAGGAGTAGTGGCTGGTAGTATTTTTTCTGTGTTAATCTGAAGGGGGTTGTTTTCACTCTGCTCACCTTATCACAAGTCAAGCATAAGCTCATGTGAGTTACAAAAAAGCCTATGGGTCCAGATCCTTTTTGTTTCTTTTTCTTTTTTTTTTACAATAAGTATTTATTATTAGACATTGGACATAGCTAGTATGTGAAAAGCTGAGCAGGTGTCCTCACTGAAGATAAAAGGCAGGTGTGCGAGTGAGCCCTCACACACACTTGGACATACACTCCTCAGCTCCAGTTTAATTGACACAGCACCCCTGGACATTGACCAGGTGTTGCCTTCATGCTGTTCACATTTCTGTCTCCTCTCAGCCACCTGACTGTGGGGAATAAAAGCCCTGATTAATTTGGGTTGTAGCTTCCCTTTAAAAACCCGTCTGCTGCCGGCTTTGATCTGTTTGCACTGCATTTGATCTTTAGTGAGGCTGTTAACAGCACCTCTGAATTAGACCACTGGCCTCAGACGAAGTCCGCCCTAATTACCGTCTCCTCTGTTTAACAAAAGGCCCAGGGCCTCAGGCCTAACCAGTGCTTCTTCTTCAACAGACACACACATGCACACTTACACACGTCCAAAAGTTTCCTACCTCACACAAAGCAAAGACTTCAGATGTGTGTAATTGTAGAGAGTATGGTCACACAACAAATACGTTAGTATGGCTCAACTCCCATTTTAGTTGTTCACTATGTTATCTTTGTTATTAAATTCTCCAGAAACCTGACAAAAGAGTCTCTGTGTTATCCTTTTCTGCTACATGGCCTGTCCACATGTACGCAGATATTTTTTAAAATCTTTTCATTTTCTATATTTTTCTATGTTTTGATTCCTGTCCACATGTAAATTGCAGTTTAGTGAAAATTATGTCATTGTTGTGCTTACGGCTGAAGTGTAACTTTTGGGAAATGCTAATGCACTGGAAAAATGCAATTGTTGTTTCTATGTTCCGGGCATGAGAGAAGATGGTGGGCTGCTGGTTTGTTAAGGTTTGCTTGCTACTGTTAGGTTGAATTGAATCTTAACTGTTCTTCATCAGTATACCCCAGCTCGGGAGCAAATGAATATATCATACTCAGTCATTTTTAATTTGAACTCTGGAAGACACTGTTCATATTTGCACAATGATCTTTCATGGCATTTTGACATGACAGACTGATTTTAACTTTTTCTGTGGACAGGATAAATAAACATGTTTTTAACAAGTCTGTACATGTGTGAATACAGCCACAAAACAAACATCCAAAGAAATCAGGAAATTGATAATCTTAAAAAAAAAACAAAACAGCAGCTTACAAGAATTATTTCCACATGACGACCATAGAATAATACACGCACTATGACTGCGGAGATGTGTGTATTTCGTGGTTTTAGAGCAATTATATCAGTCAAAAGCTGTTTCTCTCACCACTGAGATGATATATAATTCATATGAATCTATGTATACACCTTCATACAACATATTACTGCATTGAAATGTAAATCCTCTCTGGGCTGTCCATAATGAAGCCATTTGGGAATTTCCATATTGTGAATCTAAGCATTTCAACCAAAGGTCTAATTGTATTTCTATAAAGGCTGATACAAACACAGAGATAATACGCAGCATTATTCGGAAACAGCTTTATCTTAGAAATGCAACCTAATTACACGCTAACAAATGCGGACTGAAACCAGCTCCATTATGGACATATACCAATACACCATCTTGGCAAGAAACCATCTCTCCCCTTCTTCAAGGTGCAAACATTAGAGTTCCTATGTAACATGTTAACCAGTGTTTATGCTTAAGAAACCGTCACAAGGTCCATTTGAAATAGCTGCAGCTTTTACTCAGCTATAATACGCAATTTTTCACTTCTTAGTGGAAACCTACACATGTAAATCATGAATCTTGCCTAGAGATCACAGGCACACTCTGAATGCCTTTTACATGTTATCTGATTTTCTATTTTAAACCCAGCCTTTGATGACTCTGCAAAGTAAGGCTAGCTTCCCATAAAACATCATGAGGGCAGCTGAAAAAGAGCAGCACAGTCACACAGTCAGGCCCACATTGTCTGTTCAATATAAGGTCCCCACATTCTCCTGTTCCGCCTCTGAACCCAAGTCACAGGGAAGGGTGATGGAGAGACTGGTGGGAGAGAGCAAGAAAAAAAAAAGTAATACTGAATGCAATTTAATCAAAGTCATAAATCTACATCAGTAAAAGTAGATAAACTATCTCAGGCACGGGTGACAGGGTTTCAGGCCGCAATTTGTTACCACAAACCACATCAAAACAAAACTACAGAAGAAATCTGTGCAGAGATGAATGCAACATTTTGGAAGAAATACTGATGAGAAATCAGCAGACCACAAACTAAAGTACCAGTGTAGATAATTACCTCCAGGAATACGCACAGAAAATAATACTTATGTTATAATCCAACAAACTAAAGTCACCTTTTTACTAATCTTTCATGCACAGGAGCTCTTGTGAAACCAGCCAGTAAATATTGGCTATTTGACACCTTTGTACATATGCCTGCACCTCATTCGAGGGGTTAGTACGCTGTATTATTTAAGATCAGCTGTGAATCTATATGTATTGACATTTTCACAACCTTGATTATGCAATAAACTGCAGTGAACATAAAAACAAGGCTAAACAATACCATTGTTGCTATGTAGGAAGAGGATTTAAGATTCTATGTTTCCTCTCTGATTCTTCTTTAATAACTTTATGTGATTTTCAGATAAAAAAGCCTCAAATTTCTCACAGTGGTGTTTTAAAACATTATTCCAGCTTCCATCTGGAACGCTTCATTTTGGCTTCTGTCTCTTGGCCTCTGTCTCGTCCCACTTTGGTGGAAACATAGATGACCCACTGAACCAGTAAGGAGAGTCTTTAATTCTTACATAAGAATTTTAGTAAATCTCGCACATAAACTACGGTCTCACATTTTCACGTAGTTGTCCGCGATTTGATCAGATTACATTTACTTTTAAAGATTATGACAAAATACATCTATCTTCTGCTTTGAACTTTGCATACATGTACACCAAACCATAGACACCATAAACACCCCCCCACCCCCCACCCCCATTGTTGTTTAATGCACTTTAATAGGAGGACAAATGCATTGTCTTACAGTTTACTGTACCTCAGAGAAATAAAAAGAGGGTTCTCTTTAATTTGTTAAAGATAAGAGACAATATAATTTGCAGTTATATACCTAAATAATAGATATTTTTTTTACATAAGCATTCATTGCATAGTTTGTTTTGAAAATGCACCCTACCATAGAAATTTTTTATTTTTTTTCTCTGAGAAATAATTAAAGGAATCTTTTTCAGTCATTATTTGTCATCACTAATTCTGTTAACCCGTCAACCCAGAATCGGAAATTGTTTTGAATCGGGAGTTGGGTGTATCGTTACGTCCCTAATGATGTATAATACTAAAATCTATGTAGGTGAAATCTACAAATGTAGATGAAATCCAGAGTTGCAGCTTTTTTTTTTTTTTTTTTTTTTTTTTTTTAATGACCTAGGAGGATTTAAGACACAAGGGACAGATTGTCCAAATAATTTTGAAATAATTTTTTACCATGTTTGCTTTTTGGAGGAAACACAGCTTGGATACCACAAGGACTTGTCGATTCAAAACATTTATTTGGAATAATTTGGAAGCATGTCACATTGAAAATAGGGTAAAACTGATCAAAGTTAGCATCCCTGTCAACTTGATGAGAATTGCTATACTGGCATAATCTGGAGTCACATAATATGGCTTTTCAAGCTGCATCAACAATTTTAAGACCAGCAGCCACAGCTAGATAGCATGGCCTCATAATGATTAGTTATGTGATCTAATAGTGATGATACCAATAATAACTAATGCTCTGATTTATTCAGGACCTGACTTGTCTGCCCTGTATGGCATCCCTGGCCCCAACGATAAAAAGCACCAGTTCCCTGGTAAAGCTTACAAGCATATAAAACAAGCTCATGGAGACCACAGTGTAGAAAACAAACAACTCTGGGGTCAGAAAGCGGAAACTAACAGAAAAAAAATGCATCTGAATGGAAAGATGGATAGAATAAAGTATCATTTTTGTTATAAAACAAGGCTTGTTTCTTTAGTGAGGATGGCGATCCTTACTTCTGCATCCATAAAGGTACATGTTGGGGTCTGAACTCTACCAAAAGCACCTTTTACACAAGCAAAAGTGTGAAAGTGTTATTACCTAAAGGTCATTTCCTTGAATCATTCATTTCATTTCATATTGAAGCCGTATTATTTTTGAATCTTTGCCTTTTAGATCTCAGTGCATTTACAGTGATGCTTCAGGTTCACACGAGGAGGCACTAAAACTTAAAGCTGTTTGGACAGATTAAGACATTCTTGGCTGGCTGTTGTTTTTATCTAGGGGAGTTTTTATGTAAAGTAAAAAGTTTGATTCACGTCTCGGGAAGCAGTAATCTTCCTCCTGTGGTATTCAGCTAAAGAAGGGCTCCAGAAGAACAGACTCAATCTTACACATATTGTTCATGTCAGTTCAGCTTGAGGTTTGTGGAGTCAAATATGCCTGAGAGCTGTTTGTGTGGGCAGTAAGGAATGCACTATATGGGCATATGGTTATGATACAAACATACTGCAAACAATTTGAGCTGAGCTGACATGAACAAAGCTCAGACCCAAACACTCACGTGTGGTATTTAGGAATGTTAAAGGTGGAGTTTTATACACCTGTCGATGAAAGACTTATTCATTAAAGCTTTCAAGTTCAGAGCCAAGGGTTGATGTTAATGGATGGTGGTGATGGAGGATTGGTGCTCTTTTCTTTTAAGAACATTTCTCTGAACTTTTTTAATGTAATCTGTCACTCTCGGTTATGACATTTAACACAACAACAGAAGAGTTGCTGTTTGAAAAGCCAGATAAGGTAACTGTTGTGTGAGTTTGGACAGTAAAGACATATTTTTAGGTTAGTGTTTGTATCCAAGTTTTATTCACTCCAGTTAAATATATATGCCTAAATAACTGGGGGACACATCTTAGATAATGGCCCACAAAAGCAGAACTTTTGCTACAAAAGTCTTCATGGACAATTTTTTTCAATATTATAAAAGAACTATAAAAAATAACAGAGAAGTGGGCCTTTTCTAAGTCATTTCTTGTACTTTCCCCTATAAACATGGTAGCTTGTCCTTAACCGGTGCATGTTAGAGAAACAAATATGCATTCAACATGGAAAACAAGCAGCTCCCTCAAATAACCAAAAGAATGAGGAAGGCCTTTGGACACAGTGGCCCTCATTTATCAAGCTTGCGTACAGCAGAAAACTTGAGTACACCTTGTGTACGAAAATTTTGACGTGAGGATATGGCATTTATCAATCTACACGTGAGTGTACGCTTTGACCAAATCTCACGACAGGTCTGACATCGTGTACGCAAGTTTGAGTCAGTGTGGATCTGCGGTGCAGCAAATGTGTCTCAAAATAATTGATATACAAACCTCAAACCTGTCATTAAGCACAATTAGACAGTTTTCATTGAAGATTAAGACGTAAATAAAATTAAATAAATTTGTAATGTCCTTAGTGAATAGGCCTATTTGATAACTCTGCCCAGAAACACTGCCACAGAGCAGGAGCGCCGTTTTAACACTGCGCACACACGTGCCACTGTGGAGCGCTGCGTTTGACTCCTAAAAGGCAGGTGTCTCTGTCTTGGCCCAGCAGCGGGGACGTTGTTGTACACTCCTGGAAGGGTGTGGGACATCATTTGGGCCAGTACAGTTTTGTACAATGTTGCTCTGGTGAATGGAGTGCCGTTGGCTGTGCCGGTGCAACGGGAGGACCCGATGCCCGGAGAACAATAACGAGGAGAGACTCCACAAAGGTGCTGTACAGAGGAGACAGGACCTTATCAATGCATTCTGACATGTAAAGTATAAGTTTAGAAAGTGCTCTTGCTATTTAATCAGTGATAAAAATCCAATAGAAATCCATAAAAATGTGCCTCAGGGGCAGCAACACACCGTTTGGTGACATTAATAATTATTTTTGTTCAGCCTCTGTCAGACTCTCCAGTTTGCTCTACATTACAAAGACGCAACAAATTAAAACTAAATACTTTCAATAGTAGGAGCAACGTACCCTTTGTCATGTCAATAAAAAAATATGAGGCACGTATGAGATATTAATTTATCATCATGAGCAACTTATTGACTAATGATTTATTCAAACTTCAGCCACTGTCTGCTATTCCGCAGCAGCGCTGTTCACCGCCACCTTAATCCTGCTCCAGACAGGAGTTTTCGGGACTGCTTTTATACCAGTTTTGATGCTTCCAAAAGAGAAAATCCTTGTTAGTTTCCACCACAGATGTGAGGATAACCACTTTCAGCTCGGAAAAGTTTAGAATCTTTGTAATATTTCTCCTCTTTCATGTTTGACCTCAGTGGGCGAGGCTTCTGAATCACAAATATTTAAGGGCGTAAACATGTTAATGATGATCAATTTCAGCCGCCGCATTTCTCAAGACCTGATCATACGTACGCTGGGATTGGTCAGATATGAACCCTTTCATAAATCTCACGTGTGCCCTATTGTACGATGAATCCTGAGCTCAGATCTGCGCAAGATTGATAAATGAGGGCCATTGTTCTTCATGTAGCCAGTGGTTTACAAGTTACATATCTCAGTAATGAACTGAATCATTTAAACCTTTAAGACAGCATGTAAGATGTCGACACTAAAGTATGTTATTGGTAAATGAAATGAAATGAAAAACACATGCTCAATGTAAATCTGATACCATCAACATGTCCACAAAAAAAAAAAAAAAAGATGGGACAGGACAATAAAACTCTGAAGCGCTTTATATTACATGTCACAGTCACCCATTCTCACCACATTCACACACTAATGGCAGGGGCTGTTGTGTGCAAAGCCCATCGGTTTTTGACTGAACCCAAGTGTCTTGCCCAAGGCATGCAAACAGCAGGACCTGAGATTGAACTTCAAGCCTCCGATTGGGAGATGACTGACTCTACCACTAAGCCACACAGCCGCCCTTTTCAAAGAGGGATAGATATGTAAACTTCCAACCAATCCACCAAAAACTTGACTGGGCTTTTAATTTAATTCTCTCTGAAGATCATGGACACTCCATAAAAATTTAATTAATTAATTAATCAATCAATATAACATTAATAATAATAATAATAATAATAATAATAATAATAATAATAATAATAATAATAATAATAATAATAGTAGTAGTAATAATAACAACAACAACAACAACAACAACAACAACAACAACAACAACAATAATAATAATAATAATAATAATAATAATAATAATTATTATTAGTATTATTATTATTATTATTGTTCTATTGTTTTCTTAATGTTAATGACTAGAATAAGGCTACCTGACCAAATCTCATACAGTTCCCTGATAAATCAACCTCTATGAAAAGAGTTACTATTGTATGCTATTAAAGTCCTAAGTGGGCATTCATGTGAAGTCACCTTTATGATAATCATGCTTGCCTTCCAGAGAGCAATTTGACCACATGTATTAGAGTGAACATATTTAATGAGGTTCAGGAAACACAGACAAAAACAACAAAGTAAGACATGCTTTATGTTCTACAGTAGGTGTGTTTTAAGCACACCCACAGTTCTGTTAATCTGGGTGACAGGAGTGAACAATGTAACATGAGCCATAGTTACCTTCCTGCTCTTTATTGACTTTAGCTCATCATTATCCACACATGACATCATCAGTACTCCTGCACACCTTTGTTGTGTTTTCCTCCATGCTTTAATTCCAAGCCACAAAAGATAAGAGGAGCCCACAGCATAGCAGGCAGTGAGAAGAAGAGTGCTGAAGAAAGAGCAAAGCAAAGGCAAAGTAAACAGATTTCAAAGCACTTTTATACTGAGACATCAAACATGCCGCACGATGAAACAACACGCCGTGGCTGGTTTTAATTGACACATTGACAACCTCAAACTTATGATAAGAAGAGGAGAGAGGGGGCAAGAAGGATGGAGGAAAGGAGGGAGAGAGGGGCCGAGAAATGACAGAGAGATCAGCCTAAACTAACAACAATAATGAAACGATAGAAGGGCTTAATTTTGCCTGACAGACGGCACTTTCATCAGATTACGTGCCTTGAACTGCACCTTGATTAATTATTAAATAACGCGTCCTGCACTCCAGCTCTGGCCCTTATTTGATGCTGCCACAAATGTGTTTGTGCAGACAGATAGAAGTCCACTACTGGACCCTGTTTACACACATCACAACAGAACAGCAGGCGAGTCCTTACACTGTTGCAAAGCACGACTGCAGCTCTGATAGTAATACTGTTGCCCCAGGGAGTTTTTTTTTTAGTTCTCTTTTAACCTCACACATTAACATTATACATCTCTGCAAAGTTGACTAAGGGGGTCTACTGGGTGTTTTTTATTCATGCATGGGGCTATAGGACGATCTGAGGCCAGTAAGCTGTTTCATTATTTATAATTACTACAATAACTACAACTCTATTAGCAGACCCCTTTTTTAATGAAAATTAGTCTGACAAGTGCTTTCCAGTAGACAACAGAACAAATAAAAAAGCAGACAGTTATGTGATTAAATGAGTCGTGTAAGTACAAATTGAATAAAAGAACGCAATAACCATCAGAAATACAAACTACACCATCAGGTTTTGAAAAACCAAGTGTCATCAATCACATTTTTCGAAAGATTCTGAACAAACTCAATATAAAATCCTGTTTTAAAGTGTTGTTTAAGACAGTATATGAAAATGACACTGATTTGGCTGCCTAATTTGATTTAGCCAACATTGGGAGCATAGCTTGAGTGACGTAAACACCATCAAAAACATTTCAAGGACAATTTCAGTGTGTCTTTCTTCCATCTTATTTGTACAGCTCAGTGGACACTATCATTATCTAACAGTGTATGACTCCACAGTCTTCAGTGTATGCTGTTTAAATTGCATTAGTGTGCAAAGAATCATGGGATATGGGGCTGTGAAGGATGCACCTGCTGAAGCATTCATACTGGTAGTTCAAGACATCAAAAACTAGTAGACAGAAAAATCCCTCCTCTAGCTGATAGTTTTTTGTTTTTTTTTAGGCCTGTTTGTTTTACAACCAACTAAAAACTCCTCAAGGGAGCTTCAAAGAGATTGAACAGTTTTGTTTACCTGTGTAAAGTGTTTCTGTGATGTTATAGCAGTGATGTACCTGTAAAATGAGCCATATCAAGGATTTCACTCCCTACCTTGCTGCCATATACTCATGTTGTGTTCTAAACATTGCCAGCAGAGGCTGTTCAGCCTGTCACATACTGTAACTGGACGCAGATACATATACATGCCGTCTTGATGCATCTCTATCAGTCTTCCAAACCCTGAGGTGCTGCATGATGTACTGTACCACAGGCGTGCTAAAATGAAGCAACAAGATTTATGATTGTTATAAATATCATCACACTGCCAATATTTTGACACACTGATGGATGCTTTCTCCAAATCAATAAGATATGGGAAACAGGGGAAACATCATTCAGCAAATCATAACCTCATGATTTTCCCTGAAATGGGAACAGCTTTCTTCCAATCCATGCTGCTAGCCCTGATCTGACACTAGATTAGAGGAATAATGGGGAAATCTGTGTCTACCTTCCCTTTTCATCTCCTCTGCCCTTTATTTGGGAGCTCTGTGTGTGCAGCCGGCTCTTTTGCAGCTCCTCTTGTTTGGTTTGGGCATATCTGGAATAGCTGTGGTCTTGTTAATACTTCCACTAAACCAGTGCATCTGGAGAGCCTTCAGCACACCTCCTTGGCTGCATGAGCACATACTGTATATACCCACAAAAATGGATGTACTTCTTAAACATATACAAAAAATGTACTTTAAAATACTCTGCCTGGGTTTTTGTCCTCGGATACACTCTGGAGCTCTGAATTTGTAATTTCAGGTCTGGGAGGACACCTTCTGCCCATAAACTCACACTTCCTCTCTGCAGTAATAAAAAGGGAGAAATTAGTAGATATAAACAAGTCTACTTAGATGGAGAGGTAGTAGTATTCAGTGAAGTCTTTGATCTAGTCTTAACTAGATCGCTTTGACAAGTCCAATTTATGGCTGCTTCTCGCCACAATAGCTCATTGTCTGGAGCTCTGCAGATGATCTAATCACTGCTGCCCTCAGAAGTCTCCAAAAGGAGATGAAGAGGAAACATAGTGGAAACATTGTCGTCCACCACTTTTGATGTGAAAACACATGATGGCTGTGCCTTATCTGATTTCTCTTCCAAATTAGTAAGACCAAATGAAATGAAGCAGATCAAACAAAATGAAGGAGTCTTTTAATTGCATTACACACCCACACTGGGCTTCCTGCGGTAAATTGTCCTCTTCGTCTAGAGGAATGGACAATGTGGCAAAGAGATGAAGAACAATGCTCCTGCACATGATGGTTTGTTGATGGATTCACAAGCTTTATCAATCCTCACACGACTGTCCACAAACACAGATATCAGACACAAACACACAAAGAAAGTGTCACACACAGATTTTTCCGGCTTGGAATAAACCTGCAAACTAAAAGACAATCAATGGTCCCTTATCGTCAGCAAAACTCTCCTCGCTAGAGAGTTCAGATGTCAGCTTCACACCCAGAGACAAAGCTGAGCACAAATACTGGCTCATGCCATCCACTATCTATGGCACCAAAAAAAACAAGGCAGATTCTGAAATGCCACCTCGTGACTTTTTGGAGGAGCTAATCTATTCTATTTAATGTAGTTCAGAGGGGCCCGGCTTGGTGCTGAAGACACAAGGCAGGATTAGTCCTCATACAGCGGTGGCAAGATGAAAGGAGATAAACCACTTAGCCTCGTTCTTGGATGACTTTATATATTTATTTCCCTCAAGTCTCTTCTCAACGTTTGAACAGGGATTTAGCAGTGAAGACACTTAAGTCTCTGGAAGTTAATCTTTTTTCCTCTTTCAAATAAGTTGTGGATTTTTCTTTTTTTTGAGTGCTGTTGAGTTTTATGAACTTTCAATAGTCGTTCAGTGAGGGTGGAGAGACAGAATTCCCCATGCTGAGAGTGGCCTTTGTAAGAATGAAACAGATTTTTAAGAATTGCCTTAAAACTGTCATGAGAGCAAGTTTTTCTTCAGTTCAATCAAAGGCATTGTGTTTGATGCACACTGTTTTGACATTTGAATGTGTTTAATCGGTCACTGAGCGTGTTTTTCTCTCTGAATCACACTTCTAAATAAATTCCCTTGAAGAAACCTTGTAGTTTGGATACAGATTTCCCCTGACCCTAAAATGTGCTGCACAGCCTTCATGTCTGGCTGAGAGTCTGACCCGTCTGCTCCTCAGTATCTTCCCACATCTCTATTGACTCTGCAGACCCTGCGCTCCGAGCCCAGCCTGCTGAGGGGTGCCGACCCCAGGCTCTGGCCCCTGCACATCAAAGGCTCCTTATGGAGGATGTTAATATTTGCTCAGGTGCATCTCGTGGGTCTCCCTCTCCGAGCAGAGACTGCTCCGAGCATATAAATATATCAGAGGCCAAAGGGACGTCTGGTCACGCTGTCCCTGTGTGTGTGTGTATGAGAACAGAGGAGGGGGTGACGGTGTGTGCTGTCACAAAACACACACATGCACACAGACTCCACCCCTCCTCCAGACTCCTCCGGTCCACAGCCCGTATTTGAACCCCCTCTTCTTTCTCTTTCCTTTCTTCTCTCTGACCCTCTGACCTGGGACTGCCCTTTGGTCAGGACTGACATGAGACAGGACAGCTGGGGACAACAAGAGTCCTGTCCCAACCAAATCCCCTCCTGCCTCCTGCCTTCTCCATCCCATGACCCTTGAATTGCCTTTGAACTTCTGCAGCCTGATGCCGATTCCCTCCTGAGACACCAACTGTTTACCCAACACAGTCACAAATAAGAACATAGTGGTAAGATTAAATATTACCTTTTGATGACCTTTTTGTTTATGGCGCAAGACCTCCATCTTACATCTGCACAATCCCATCTCAGTGTCACTGATTACAGCAGCTTACAGAGACTGCAGGCTTGTCTCCCAGTGCTGCTTTCACTCCTGTTCTTCTTTGGATGGCAGGTTGACTTGGCTCGCTGTGACCGGCTTGTTTACGCTGAGCTCTGCAAATCAGATCTAACCTTTGGCAGCCTCTATCCTCCTCAGCCGATGCAGATAGGAAGAAGTGGAATCTAGAAAACTCCAGCCTTATTTCAAAGGAGCTGAAGCCGGGCAGCCCCACATCTGTGGAATAATCTGATGCAAGACCAATGTGTTTCGTAACCGGATCGCTGACAATACACAGACTGTTGAGGGTTAGCAGTGCTGCTGTTGCTGCAGCACATGTAAACAGTCTATGTCAGTATTATACAGTTTATGTTTGGGGCTTGGGATTCTGGGCAGAGATGGAGTCTCCTCATTCTATTGTGAAAAACTTTAAAGACAGACCTCATCAATAACCAGCCATTTGGCTTTTATAAGCTCCTCAATCAATAAATATTGAAATTCTTATTTCTTAAAAGCTTTAAAAGCTGTTTGAGGAGATGGAGTTTAAGGGATATGCCTGATCTTTTCAGACATGCATTCTGGAAAATATCAGGGGCCCTAAAACAAAAATTTACCTGACCGTATTGTTCACACAATCACCCTTACAGTGTGAAGTCTCCCCTGTCAGATTAGGGGCATTAGTATGGAAGCAAATGTGACTCATATCTCAAATTCAAAAGCATTAGCAGAAATGCATTTTCATTTCAAAGTCATGGCTGCACCATTTGACTCAAAAATAAAAATAAAAAGCAGTATTCCAAAATGCATTTTCATTTTCTTCTTCAAGACTGCCCATTTTGTGACTAAATTAAAAAGAAAAACCAAACTCAGAAATGCTTTTTCATTTTCATGCTCGCCCCGCAAAAAGTGTCTCATAATTCAATCTGAGTTCGCAATCTCAAGTGGCGCCGGAAAATGATGTCATGGACCCCACTCGTTCTGGCCCCTTCTGGCCAATAGGGGGCGGTGAATCCGTGTATCATTCGTTCAATTGCATGGCCAGAGACTGCAGTGATTCTGCCTCCGTGCCATGTATTTTTAAAGGATCTCTATAACCATTTTGTCTGTTTCTCACTGTGTTTATGACCCTTTATTTGCAAAATATCACAAATCCATCGATCAGTGATGAGAATAATGAGGAGTATAAAGTCTGTTAGTCCGCTGAAACAGATAGCCGCAATCCGCGGTTTGATTTCATTCACGCTGACTGCGTGATTTCTGAGTTTGGTTTTTCTTTTTAATTTAGTCACAGAATGGGCAGTCTTGAAGAAGAAAATGAAAATGCATTTTGGAATATAGCTTTTTATTTTTATTTTTGAGTCAAATAGTGCAGCCATGGCTCTGAAATGAAAACGCATTTCTGCTAATGCTTTTGAATTTGAGATATGAGTCACAATCAAACCACAGATTGTTTCATTTTACCTCAAGTTTTTATTTTTTTTATTAATTTTTTATTTTTATTTTTTTATTATTGTTTCCCTCTCAACCCCGGGAAGATGTGTCTGCTTGCAAATTAAGCCAACTGATGAAGTTGGTGTTGACTGAGCTGTGAGTTAGAGGAAAAGTTTACCCAGCTTTAGTAATCCTGGGGGTGGGGTTGAAAAGACAGAAAAGTTAGGGAGAATAAGCAGATGCAGTTCAGCCACACTGACAAGAGTATAACCTTGCTCAAACTAAATAAAATGATGTCCAGGTATCACATCTAAAATATTTGACTTAAAAGAACCTAAATTGAGTTTTATGTCTTGATTTTTTTATGTTGATGTAAACAGTAATACTGCACTTGGCTCAACCTTAATTCTTTGCCTTGGTCAAAATTGGTTTCTTAACATTTTAGTTATTAAACCAAGCTAGATTGCTACTGCCAACTAGCTAGCCAGCTACTGCCAGCTACAATCATTCCAGCTATCATCCCACTTAAGCCAGCTTCAATTGGGCTATTCTATGCTGGTGAGTAACTGCTGCAAGCATTTTTCAAGTCCCCAAGGCCAGCCCCTCCTCTCACCAAAGCTAACACCCCTGGGGCCTGTTCTACGAAGCAGGATTACTGCTTAGCGAGGTAACTTCGAGGGTAAGTTCAGGGTTTCCTGTTCTACAACGCGGGTTCATTTCTTAGCAAGGCGAGTCTCCATGGCAACATACGCTGAACGGCTAACCTGCTCCGGGGCAGGTTAAGTTCCAGATTGAACTCACCAAGTATCAAAACCCCGCCCACTGACCAATGAGCTCTCTCGAAAAATGGCTTGTCCGTTCTTGGAGGATCCTATAGACCTCGGTGCTCACATTGTCTGGGGAGCACTCCGGCACACAAGAGTTTTCAGGGACCGCACGGACCCACTTCCTTTTCCAGATGACCACCTTTATGGAAGGCTCATATGGCCGACATATCACACAAAAAATGTAAACACAATAGGAATGAACAAATGAATGAATTCATCTTGGAAATGAACGGGCATGGGCTGTGTGATCACAGACAACACCTCGGTACTATTTAGTAGCAGCGCACGCCCCTTGTAATAACCCCCGTAAAAACTGTTGTTCAGGAAGCAACTTGTGCTTCCTACCTACTGTAATAACCGTTGTTCGAGCCCACATGCAACATTTTCGTTCTCATTCATGAAATGCTTAAATCGGGGACATTTTCGGGGACAGCTTTAGCCGGGGACAGATCATCCAATTTGGGGACTGTCCCCGGAAATCGGGGACGTCTGGTCACCTTAGTTGAAAGTGCATGTTGGACAGTGCTATTTCAGGGTGATAATGGCATCAAAGATTAATTATCTGCCAGTATTTCTTCCGTGCTTTTGCAGAGGCGACGGTGTTGCTTTTGAGGTTTATGATAGATTTGAATTCTTCATACTTTCTCATGATCATCTCCTGCTCCTCGTTTGTAAAGTCCACGGTCCTTCGCCCTCCGGCCTGCTCTGACACTCCAGACTGGTCCATGTCCACGATTGGTGAGATGCGGCGGGCTCCGCCTTACATGCATGCACGCGCTCATAGCAAAGCTGGATCCACTTAAGAGGTTGTTAACCAGCGTCGTAAGACAGTTTAGCGAGACCGCTGGCTACCGCGCTAAGTTGAGCAAGGTAGCTCCAAGGATACCTCGCTAGGTTGAACTTGCTTCGTAGAACAGGCCCCAGGTGAAGATCAGCTGGGTGCTAACATTTAGCCTATCAAGTCTGGTGGCCAAGTATGAGTTATCTAATATCCAGTTTCCTTAAAGCTCCTGTGAAGAGTTTACTAAATGAACTAGAATAAATACTGACATCTCTATATGGCCTGAAACAGCAAACAAGACTCAGCTTTTTTCAACTTCTGGGCCAAAGCCTGGCGTGCTAACTCTGGAGCATGTGCAGCAGAACACTTCAGCCGTTTTGTTTCAATGGAGCTGTGTACATGAGGCAGAAAATTGATCTCCAACTGCGTCATCCAGGTATGTTAAAACGAGAAATTCAATACTGAGTGATTTCAGTCAGCCTAACAAGTTAACATGTATTTCAAAAGGCCAGTTTCAGTCAGACTAATTCTTCTTTTAAACAACATGTAAACGTGCTGACAATCAGTGGTTGATTCTGATTGGTCAAAACCCCATGACAGCTGAAATCAAGATCTTAAACAGACTAAAACTAAGACATTCAAGTTGAGAGAAGAGTGGGACAGGAATATAAGCAGGATTCTCAAGTCTCACGCATTCCGCGTGTGACACACGCATTCCCACCCGTTCACACACCACACATTGTATTTCTCACGCATTTAAATGAACATGGTGATGTCCACCAAGTTGCACCTCTTTAAAAATGGAACAGGTGGGAATCAACTGAGTTCCTCCGAGAGTTAAGAAGCTGCGTGCCACGCGCAAGCCAATCAAATAAAGTATATCTACTGAACAGCCAATCATAAAAGCAGCATTGCTGTATCCGGGTAGATTTTGATATCCTGTGGTTTGACTAAAGAAGAAGACAGACACTCGCTGAAATAGAGTAGGTTTCCTAAGGACGAGAAAGACCCGATGATTTCAGTAAGTCAGTAACCTACACATGCAGAGGCCTCAACACCTCATGGCATATAAACTCATGATAAACTAAAGCCCTATGCTATTGCTATTAACAGCTGCATTGACGAATTTAGCCTCTGCAAAGCCATTTCCAGCCATTTCCCCCTCCACAAAAGCAGCATTTCTCATATATTCTTTTTAAAGTTCTGTAAAGTTAAGTATCTTCATGTTTGTGAAACCTATACTAAAGTACATTTCATCTAAATGCTCCACAGTGCTGATTTTAACAACTCTCCTCCATGACAGGCAACTTTACTACTTTATTCTTATAAATTAATGACTTTATTCTCCTAAATAATAACTTTAATCTCAAAGATTTAAAATGTTTTTTTTTTCTTAATGTGGCCCTTATACTCTCTTGTATTTATTTGATTATTATACTAATAATTATCTTCATAATAATAATTCTTAATAATGATCTTCAATCACTCTTCCACCCCCCCACCCCCAAGAAAAAAAAATCTCAAAACCTGAGAACCCTGTATAAGTTTTGTCAGAACTAGGTCAATATACATGTTTCCAGGAGGAAATGACCTTAGAGCAGTTTGTGTGTCTCAATTATGCACCTAATTTTATTTCTCAATGCCAGCAGCAGAAAATCCATTAATGCTGCTCTGACTGTCCATTTATTATCGATGGAGATGTGTTTAAAAAGTCTTTCACAATGACTTTGTCTACCTTTTCAAATTCAGCACTGGCCCAAGGACATGTGCGGGAGGAGATGTCATTCTTTGATGACATTTTCCTGTATTGCCTGTGACTGATGATAACATTTCCGAGGGATATTAAACAGGAGAGTTAAATTCTATAATATTGATCAACCCTTCTTATCAGTAAAGCCCAGGGCCCATCCTTCCAGCTCACGTTGTCCTTTAATATTGGCTGTTATCATTACTTTCTCAATGTGAAAGAATTTGGGGAATATCTCAGGACATTTGAGTTTAATGTAAAACTTAATCATAAGCAATACTTTCACAGTAACTGCATGGCTACACACTACATAGACAGGGCCCGGTGTTGACCAGTGATGGGTGTGGTTGTCTCTACAGTCATTG